TTTTAACAGTTGTCAACAGATATTGTTGTTGTTGTTATGTGCCGTCGAGTTGTTTGCGACTCGTAGCGACCCTATGTACAACAGCCCTACACCCTGCTCTATCTTGTGCCAGTCGCATTGCCTCTGACACACCCATCCTGATTACCCCAGTCAGTCTACCTCATAGAGGGTCTTTACTTCTTGCGCTGTCCCTCCACCCTACCAAGCATGATGTCCCTCTCCAAGGACTTGTCTCTCCTTACAACATGTCCAAAGTTATGTCAGACGAAGCCCCAGAATCCTTGGCTCCAAGGAGTAGCCTGGTTTAACCCTCTCCAGAATGAATCTGTTTGTTTTCTTGGCAGTCCAGGGTACCCTCAATACTCTTCTCCAGCACCACAGCTCAAAGGCATCAATTCTCCTTCTGTCCTCGGTAGTCATTGTCCAACTCTCTGATGCATAACAAGCCATTGCAAAGACTATGGCCTGTGTCAGGCACACCTTAGTCGCCAGAGAGACACTGTTGCTCTTGAGTACTTTAGAGAGGTCCCTAACAGCAGAGTTTCCCATTGTGATGCGTTTTTTTATTTCTTGGCTGTTGTTGCCAAGAGTGTTGACTGTGGACCCTAGCAAACTAAAGCTGTGAATAAACTCAATCTCTTCACCATCCTTCCTGATGCTGCCAATCAATCCAGTGGTGAGAATCTTTGTCTTCTTGACATTGAGCCTCAATCTATATTGAAGGGTGCAGTCCTTAACCCTCTGCAGCAAACACTTCAGCAACAGTATTTCTGTGGGCATGATTTCTCATTGTCTTGCGTGTACTTCATAAATGTTCAGAACAGTTTGGACAGTTTATGCCACAAATTTGAGAATCATTTATAATACATATTTGTGAAAATGCTTTTTTATACTTTAATTTCTACTAAAAGAATTAAAAAATATTCTAGACAGAAAAGAACAAGCCTATTTGATAGTTAAAGATTATTGATGTTTCTTATGTTAACCTGAAACCATATAAAAAAGTTAAATTTCCAAGATAACCAGTGAGATATATGTGTATGGATACAAAGTGCTAAGGGGTGTGTGTGTGAGAGTGGGACCGAAGAAAACCATGATGTCACAGAGTTTGGTGGGTTGAGGGAGGGAGGGAATGAAAAACAAAGTACATGAATGAAACACAATAAATTTATTTTTTTTTTAAAAAGCCCTTAAATTTCCTAGAGAATAATCATTCCATTATGTTAAATTTTCTCCTTCCCCACAATGAGCCAGATGAGTCACTTTTGAAAAATTGGAAAGCATGTAAGGCTCAGTTCTGAATCCTGTAATCTCTTAAGCATATCCTCTAGTCGTTAGACCACCTTTTGGTCATATTCCTTGAACACCACCATTCTTCTTCATTGTTGCTATTTGCCATTGAATTTGATCTGACCAATAGCTGACCCTACAGAAGGTTTTCAGAGGCAGTGAATCATGCAGAGATTGCCCATCCTTCTTCCATGGATCATGGAGCATCTGGTGGTGCTTTTGGAATTGCAGCACAGCTTCTTTCCAATAGGCCACCAGAGCTCCTTTTTTAGTTGCCTTTTTTAAAAAAAAATTCTTGTGGTAATTACATCCCTAGAGTTGTATTTCACATAGACCTTTTAGCATAATATTCTGCGTATGTGTTTGGTGTACTAGATTGTAAACTCCTTGAAAACTTTGTATCTCAAACTGGCGACTAAATAAAATGCTACAAATTTCTTTTTCTTGCAGTTAAGATCTACTAGTTAAAATTTAATCTTAATCATTCTCTTATGCTTTTATGATTACTTCTGTTTTCCCTGGATGATTTCAGATTCCATTGATTTTATTATTACCTTAACTGAGAAAATCCCCAAATTTGCTTTCATATTCCATATGTTTTCTTGGAGAGGATGAAACCCAGATTCTTGAGGGAAGGATTCTGAAGCTCTGTCTGACATACTTTGGGCATGTTGCAAGGAGGGACCTGTCCTTGGAGAGGGATATCATGCTTAGGAGGGTTGAGGGACAGCGCAAGAGAGGAAGACCTTCAATGAGATGGATTGATTCAGTGACTGGGGTAATGGGGGTAGGTGTGTCGGAGACTATAAGATTGGCTTAGGATAGAGCAGCATTCAGAGCTGTTGTGCACAGGGTCACTTTCAGTCGCAGGTGACTCAAAGGCACATAACAGCAGCATTCCATATTTATTTTCAAGGCTCCAGATTTGCAATCTCCAGCTAGCATTTAGACTAAGACATAAATAGATGTAGTGGTGTTGGTTGCCTTCAAGTCGAGCATGACTCAAAGTGACTCTGTAACAAAAAGCCTGACGCCCCTCTACAACTATTGACATATATCCAAGTTCATAGTTTCTGGATGCCACTCCTGCTTCCAAATAAATAGAATTACAGACATTTATAAATCTAGCATATCCAAAGCTAAAAAGCCTCGTCTTCTTTGCCCAGCATAGTCCTGGCAACTGTGATGTTTATCTCCATTAATGACTTCTTCCTATCACTCAAACCGTGCTCTCTCACCCCAGTCCAATTCATTAAGCTTTGCACACTGTCTTCTGACTATCCCTTGATATGGTTCCATTTTAAGTAACTTTTTATGGCCCAGCTCAGTCTCTTTCTTCATCACATTGCTTCTTGTAATCTTACTGAAATACTGTGTCAAAATACTGATTGACTTAGAAATTGTGACTATCCTTTCAAATACTATCTTCCTAAATGCTAACATATTTTCTTTGACTTCTCCTGACAGCTAAAATGAGAAAGCCTCTTGATACTGATTTGACTGTAGCACATTCTGTTGGTATTTGAGGTAGAAAATAGTTAAAAACCCATCAACCTTTAAAACCAGATTTGGTCATCTTTGCATCAAATTCAGATCTTTTTCCTGGCCTTTGTTTGTACTTTTAATTCGCTGGCCTTAATTCTGTTTTTTAGAGCTTTCAGATCTTGCACATGGCTGTATGACTTGGTTTGTCTTTATTCTATGCATTTTTTTTCTTTGAAATCTAAACGTATTTTATAAACTATTCCATGATTTTTTTTTTTTTTTTCATGGGCCTTTGCTCAGTGCTTTTTTTGGTACTAATTGAATTCCTGTGTATTTCTCAAAACTTGACTCTTACATGTGTTCAGTCACACACAAAACAAATTATCCAATTAAATTTAATTCATTCTATGAAGTATCATTATGGCACCTACATGATTATTTGTGACTCTGTGATCTTTTTCTCCTAACCCACTAAAATCAACATTTATATATAATTGACATTATGATACTAAAGGTAGACCCTGTAAGACATAGTAGAACTACCACATAGGGTTTCTGAGACCATTTGGAAGCTGACTTCTAGAAGCTAGTGTCCTTATCCTTCTCCCCCCCCCCCCCAAATTTCATGTGTTCAAGCTGTCAACTTTTTGCTTAACAAGCAAGTGACATTGACCACTGTCATTAACATTATAGTAGTACCACCAGTTTCTCTTGAGTATGATGCCCACTTCTGACGACTTCATGTATGTATGATAGTGGCTGATTTTGCAGAAGTAGATTGATTGGCAGACCTTTTTTTCTGAGGCTATTGTGGGTGAACTCAGACCTCCAACTTTTTTTTTAGCAAATTATACAAGTGTTCAGGTCTTTCGTTCATAGGGTCATTATGAGTTGTTTATGATTTGATGGCACTTAACAATAACAACAACAATAACAACCAAAAACATTTAACTATTTGTACTATCCAAGGACTTTATGTACTATGGAGAATAACAAGTCTTTAACAAAGAATAAAGTAGGGATTATTAGGAAAAATGACTTAAAAACAGGTTTTTAATATGTATAGTGATTAATTTAAAAATTATAACATATTACGTAAATAACATTTTTATTCTTTTTTTACTGTGATTTGACTGAATGGTACAAAACAAATTGGTTTTTTTATTCAATCAGTAATACATAGTTTGTGTTAAATAACATTTTTACTTATGAATTTATTTTCTCTGGAATGTATGATTTTTACCATTTGGTAGCATGTTAGTTATTGGTGACATTGTCCACTTACAAGAAAATGGCTGCTAGAAAAGAATTTAAAATAGTAATTTCTCATTTTTTCAAGTGAAAATGGAATTCCATGGAAAAGGTGGCTAATGCTGTTTGCACACAAGTTGCATTAAGTGCTTTTCTTCAGTATAGCCATCATGCTTTGGCGTGTGGCAGAAAGGCTTTATGCATACTTTTGATCTTATTCCACAGAATATTAAAATGATGTATACCAGGGAGTTCTGGTGGCCTAGTTGTAAGAAACTGTGCTGCAGTTTGAAAAGCACACAGTTCTAATTCACCAGTTGCTCCATGGGAGAAGGATGAGTCTCCTCCCAGGCACTTTACTACCTCTGAAAACCCACTAGAAAGTCAGTTATGGGTCGGTTCTGACTTGATGGCACACAACAACAACATACCCAAAAGTCAATATTTAAGAAAATTTGTAATTTTCACTGCTTCATCAAGGACATTCATAAGTAAAATGAACTTAAACAAACAAAAGAAAAATCACTGTATAATTCAACCACAAGTGCTTTTGTACCCTCACAGTACATGTCAACACGGTGAAAAGGGATACAGCTTAGCATAATTTTTAAGATCATGTAGATGTCTTTGCCTCCCTGAAGAAGATCTCAGGGACTTCCTCAGCAGATCACATTTGAGAACCATTGCTGTAGGTGGTAATGATGTTATTTATATTTTAATGTGAGTTTTCCTAGTTGAGTTACCATAAAGAATCTAGTCACAAACAGTGTTGTTCAGGGTTTTAACCAAGCATGGACTCTTACAGTTAGTTCTGTTTGACCTATTTGATGGTACTAGAATAAAGATAGCAGCAGACTAACTTGTGGAGAATATTTACGTTGTGAAAGCTGCAACATATGGATTTAATTCTCTTGATATATTATTTAGAGTATTAATTGAGTTTTTTATAATTATACTTTCTCTTTTTATTTTAGGCTTGCATTGATGACAATGCTGATATGGTAAAGTTTCTGGTAGAAAATGGAGCAAATATTAATCAACCTGATAATGAAGGCTGGATACCATTACATGCAGCTGCCTCCTGTGGATATCTTGTTATCGCAGAGTAAGCCAGTTTTGGTTTTATCCAAATACTATTTTATAAAACTAAGATTTCATTTAACATTTCTTACACACTTGAGCCCATTGCTGTTGTCACTGTGTCTTTCCATCTCATTGAAGGTCTTCCTCTCTTTGTCTGACATCCATCTTCTCAAGCATAACAACTCTCTCCAAGGAATAACATCTTCTAGTAGCATGCATAAAGTATTAACATCAAAGCTTATCAAATTTAATGTGAGAGTTTTACAGTATGAATTTCTCTTATAGAGGCTTTTATTACAGTTTGATAAAAAGCTTTGCTTTTCACCGTTTTTCCTTGTGATATCACTTTCAAATGTGACACATTATGTGATGAAATGATCTGCTGGACTCAGAATTTCTTAAAGCCATTTGAATTTTATTACTGACTGCCAGTAACTTCTCTACATACATGAGTAGTTTTTTGCCTTTTTGGGGGCTTTAATTTCTTTCTATGTAAAACAATTAAGTGCTTTTACTTTTGCCTTTGCCTAACAGTAGTTATTAAAAATTATAATTATGGTTCTTAAATTCCTTATCTTCTTCCTATACTTTTCATGTTTAAAACAGAATTTGGATCTCTACAAAGAAAATGGTAAATGTACATTTACCTTCATCTGTCCTTAAAGATTAAGTACTTAGGTCTGGAGTTAACTGATACAGATTATGAACACCACTTCAGCCTCTCTTGAAAGTGTGTGATCTTGAGCAAGTTGCTTAACTTTTCTTGGCTTGTTTTAAGAAGTAGTTAAAGTAATCCATCAAACATGGTGCATAGCACATTGAAAATACTGTTAACTTATGTCCATTATCTTTATCTTTCTGGGAAAGTAAAAGCCAGTTAGTCCTTTTGTTTTCTTTTTTTATTCATGCCTCTTGAGTTTAAGAGTTTTTCTCTATATAATGATTCACGGGGAAAAAAAATGGAAGAAGTACAGAGTCATTGAACTAAAAAGAAGTGACTGACACAGAAGAATTTCAAGAAACAGCATATGATCAAAAGGCAATGGTGATGAAGAAGGAAGTTCAGGCTGTTCTGAAGGACTTTGCAAACAATAAAGCCCCAAGAATTGATGGAATACCAATTGACATATTTCAACAAACAGCTGCTATCCTGGATGTGCTAAGTTGTGCCAAGAAATCTGGAGGACAACTACTTGGCCAGCTGATTGGAAGAGATCCATATTTATTCCCATTCCAAAGAAAGGTGAACAGACAGAGTGTGGAACTTATCAAACAGTATTACTATATCACACACTAGCCAAATCCTGCTGAAAATTATCCAGAAATCACTGGAACAGTGCATCGACAGAGGACTACCAGAAATACAAGCTGGGTTTAGAAGAGGTCGTGGCACTAGAGACATTATTGCCAATGTCAACAGTGGATCTTGGCAGAAAGCAAAGAGTACCAAAGGAATGTCTATCTGTGTTTCATTGACTTTGCAAAGGCATTTGATTGTGTGGATCACAACAAATTTTGGCTAATCTTGAGGAAAATGGAATCCGACACACTTGCTTGTAGTTATGTGAAACCTGTACTTGGACCAGGTAGCAGTCCTCAGAACAGAGCAGAGAAACACTGCATGGTTCATAATCAGGAAAGTAGGGTGCAGGGATGCATCCTGTCTTCATACCTTTTCATTTGATAAGCAGAACTGATCATTCGGGAAACAGGGCTTTATTAAGAGGAATGTGGCACTAGGATTGGAGGAAGACTCATTAACAACTATGTTTCACAGATGACACAACCTTGCTTGCTGAAACTGAAGACCTGAAGCACTGCCTCCTTCAGAAAGTCAAGGACTGTGTCTTCAATTTGGATTGAAGTTTAACATCAAGAAGACAAAAGATTTTCACCAATGGGCCAATTGACAGCACCATGATAGATAGAGAAGAAGTTGAGGTTGTTAACAGTTATAGGTTGCTTGGCTCCACAGTCAACACACTTAACACCAGCAGTCAGGAAATCAAAAAGATGAATTGCATTGGGAAAATCTGAAGTCAGGAACCTCTCCAGAATGCTGAAAAACAATAATGTCAGTCTAGAGATTAAGGTGCACTTCATCAAGGCCATTGTCTTCACAATTACTTGTTATGCTTGAGAGTTGGACAGTGACAAAAGATGATAGAAGAAGAAGTGATGCCTTCAAGTTGTGGTGCTGGAGAATGTCTTCCACATACCATGGACTGCCAAGAAAACAAACAGGTCAGCCTTGGAGTGGGGAAACCAGGCTTCTCTTTGGAGGCCAGGATTTTGAAGGTTGGTCTCACATACTTCGGACATGTGACCAGGAGAGACAGGTTCTTGGAGAAGGACATCATGCTTTGGAATGGTGGAGGGAAAGCACAGGAGAGATGAGATTGATACAGTGTCTGGGGCAAAGGCGATTACTGTGTCAGAATTAGTGTCACTGGCTCAGGACAGGGCAGGATTCAGAGCTTCTGTACATAGCGTTGCTCTGATTCGCAGGCAACTAGACACATAACAACAAATGTTTGATAATCCATTTGTATCACTGGGATATTTTGTTTCACATATAAAAATAACCATTTTAAGTGGCTGAAGAGTAAAGACACTTGTTGAAAGACACAAGTTGAAAAGCATTCTGGTGTATTAAGTTGCTCAGTGTTGTCCTCAAGATGCAAGTGGCTTCCTGATGTTTTTTTCCCCCTTTATACCTTTCCTAAATATTATGTAATTCTTTGCTTTGCCACTTTATAGTTAATCGCATAATGATTATCACATCTCCAGAATTTAACTTTTTTAGTTTTG